CTTCCCGTTCCTATAACTTTGCTGAACGCGATTCCCTTCCTAGAAAGCTGTGTCATTTTCCTGTGATAGTCATTGAATTATCATTTATCGTCCTCAAAGAAAGAGCTTTGATTAAGCCTTTTTTGAAATTTTATCTAAACAGCCACAGCGATGCTGAGATGTCGCAAAACTTGGTCATTGACTGGTTGCCGATTTGTGCTCACCAGATCAATCCCGTTAACGGGTGATTGGTAACGACACTGGTAGATAGGAAACTAGCTGAGAGAAACGCAGAGCAAGGGCGGTGTGTAATGCGCGAGCCCCGGAAAGGGAAATCGTGGTTCGATCTGGCCTGGGTTCCAAGTTTACGAATATCTCATTGTTGTGCATTTGAAGTGCATTTTAAATGGAATTTTGAGGTGTAATTGTGTAGGCTGCGTTTTATGCTTCATACACCCAACTGTCTAAGTTTTATTTCAAGTGGAAATATAAAGTGAAAATTACAGAACTGATACTTTGAAAGATGAAGCTCGAAATTCTTTTTCTAACGTTTGCGTTGCTTGTACTTTCGCTTACAAGTAAGTAACCAATTTAGTAAGTCGTTCACAATTGTTCACAAATATATGGCAAATTTACATCTTCACTTTCAGGGTGCTACATCACAACTCAGAATAGGCTTTATTAATAAAAATAAAAACCGTTAGCATAAACACATTCCAACTATAAAAGCAACTTTGTTACCACTGGTTGCACAAAATTCTTCACTTAGGAGCGCGATGAACTCTTTCACAGCAGCTTCGGCTTCGGCTTGAAGCATTTCTCAGAAATGAGGTTGTCAAGGTGTTCGAAGAAGCAGTGGTCGATAGACGAGACTTTTTGGCCGGTACTACGCTGAATAAGGCACAGCTCAGCTTGTTCAACTTGTGCACCGTTGAGAGTGCGACATTATCGTGGAGAGGGATTGGTACCGTTTTTTTGAACAGTGAAGAGTAGCCATTGAGTTTCTGAAGCACTTTGTTGACTTGCTGGACCTACTTTGCCACCGTAGTCGTTTCACCCGTGTTCAGGGAGCGGCGGTTGATCAGAATAGCTGTAGACCACCAGACGGTGTTTTGGTACAGTTCCGTGGAGAAAATCCGCGGAGCCTCATCGCACTCCAACTACTGAGCCGATCGTTACCGGATCGTAGAGAATCCATTTTTCGTCGCACATCACGATTTGGTGGAGAAACGGTCTTTCTGTTTTCGTTGAAGAATCGCTGACGATACCTCATAATTGTGTTTTTTTTTCGTCGTTATTCAATTCATATCGCCTTTAGCTGTCGAACTGTTTCTACTTTCTAGTCTTGTTTTGATGTTCTGAAAGAATTTAGGTGGTTAAACCGAGTTGTGCTACAAGTTGCCGAACAGCTGTCCGTGTATTTGCTTCCACGAACACCTTCATTTATCATAGTCAACAGCAAATGTAAGCCCGCGACCTCCTTCATTAAGTCGAAATCGCCACAATTTTTCAGATTAAATACTGCACTGCACGTTCGTTAACACGTTCTTGCCACCTTCTCTCATTAATATTTCGAACCGTTTATGCTGCGTGCTTCCGAGGTTGAATTCGTAGCAGATTTGTTGCAATAGCTGTCTTGACATCCGGAATTCTGAGCTTCAAATTTTGCCAGAATCAAAATTTGTAGTATAATTCAATAACGCTAGCGAAACTAAAGAGGATAAGATCCTTGCAATGGTGCACAATCACAGCAGTAGAGCGTTCAAAAAAAACTGTTACTAAAACACATACCAGAAAAGTAGAGCCACAAACAGAACATCAGTGTCAGACAACCTCATACTTCAAACCTGAAAAGACATTAAAAGTTTGTTTTTTTTAAGGAGACAATATATGATGGGACACGGTACCTCCTTACTTGGACACTTGGAGAGCCCGTCTTAACTTTCATTTCGGGTCCAGCACACTTTCCATTTGTTTCTTTCTTCACTAGCGTCGTTCATTGTGGTGGTCTCCTAGGACCATAATGACGTTTACGAGACCCATTTCGTGTTCTTGAAATCGTTTTTGTTTGCGAATGTAGATAGTTGGCGTTATCTACGAACACGTTCGCCCATAGCTTGGATGGTCTTCCAAGAGAACGATTGCATTCTGTCGGAGTTCACTCCACTGTTCCTTTCGTCCATCTGTTATCTGTTTTTCTCTTTATGTGAACTGTCAATCTTGTTTCTCTATCGATGTATTCGCATGGATACCGAAGACGGGATAGGTTTCGAAGATCTAGGTTGCACACTCCGACTAGATCGTAAGAGTGCCGGTGTTTCACAAGACATCGTTCAAGCGCTCTATGAGTAGTGCGGAGTATTCCTGATGTGGTTGATGTATCAGCCCACGTCTCTTCCACATAATAGGCGCTGGGAATACTGTTGCATCGAAAAGCTGAGCGTGGAGTTTTGGGTCATTTAGTTGGTCGGAGGCTTCTTTGAGCGGCTCAAATGCTGCCCTTGCTGTTCCACTTCTGTCTAATTCGTCCTTCATTTTGTTCTCCATGTTCATTGAATGTTCACGGTTTCTGTAATGAGAAAACCATTCAATTCGATTTGTTCACGTTCGTACTATGGGTCCCACATCAAATTGGTGTTCGTCCTATTTATGCTTAGTCTAATCTTCTTTTGCGGTTCGTTGAGTTCATTGAGCTTCTTCTATCTGCTTCTTAGGTATTTCTTGAAAACATGTTGATGTCTTTAGCGAGACGATGATTCGATCAGTATTTTCAATCAATACTAATCCCTCTCTGATCCCAATTGAGTGACTTCATTATCCACTGCAGTTTGACAGTAAATAGCATTGTCGATATTGTGCCACTCTGTCGAACCAGTTTTTCCATAGGTGTGGTAAGAGATTAATGGGAAAACTGTATTTTTGTCTTGTGATTCCGATAACATTCAGCTGGTATTTGCGTAGGAAGTACAGGATGACACAGTTTATCGAGACCGACAAAGTTATATTTTTTCAATTTCGATCAACCACAGCTCGTCTATCCCAGGAGGTTTGAGTTCGTCATCTTATGAGGAGCTAACGCTTTGCGGTTTGTCTAAAAAATCAAACACGTAACACCAATCGCTGACCTTTATCGACTAGCGGAAATAAGTTAGACAAGGAGATAAACTACGAGCAGAACACTCTGCGCGAGATCCTACTGCCTTACATGGAGTAGTTAGGGCTTCCGGTGCTATCTGCACTACTCGCTTTCTGTGCTTGTACATAAAAATTTGTAACTCCATTAGACTCTTTCGCAACAGTCACAACTTTTTTTCGTTTTTTAGAAACAACTGGTCCGGCTGAAGACGAACAGCTGAAAATGGTGGAAGACCTTGATATGGTCGCTGATCATCCGAAGATTAGAGTAAAGCGTAAGTGGAACGTTCATGGTCGTGAAAGGGCTTTTTCATGACGCGGTTATAATCAAGGCATAGTATTCTTTCAGCATTTTTCTAATAGAAAACTCTTTAAAAGTCACAATTTTAACTTATTATTTACTGCCTACTTTTTTTTAATGGCAGGGTATATTGCGAAATACAACTTCAATGATACTGAGATATTTGCAAAGCTCCGGACCGAAGGTGTATGCGGTGGGGAACGAACGTGCTATTGTTCTTTCCGAGGAGTAGCGCGTTCACCACCACACCATGCGGGTGCTTCGCTTCGCCTCTCTCAGTCAGTTCTATCGATCCTTGCCACAGCAATCACCCGTCAGCGGGATTGACCTAGGGAGCCCAAATCGGACTTATGCAAATATCTCAGCATCTTTAAAAGTCGTTGAATGTGTCGATGCCTATGCGGATTTGGATCAGTTTTAATGTATGTTAAAAAAGGACTTCTTTCAGGTCAAGCAATATGCGGAACGGACAAGAAGTGAGTTCTCAGTTATTACAATAAAGGACAAATGATTTGATCTCGAGGGATGTATCTGACTACATTAAATGTGGCAGAGGTGATCAAACGCATATATGGTCCATACGATGACTTGTGAGGACCTACCAGTTTATCAAGTCCATGTTCTCACTGCTGCTGGATTGTTCTAGTATATGTTCACCGATGCCAAACGGACGAGGGCGTCGCTTAATCCAAAGAGCAAGAATCGAACTAAGAGCCATGCTTTCATCACAAGGCACCTGCAACCACTGCGCTAGACTCGCACCTCCAAACATTACAAGTGGAATGATCGATAGCCCCGTATCAAATTTTTCATAAATAAATGAGCGTTTTAGCTATTTTATTTAAAATGTCAGCATTTGCTTCAGACAAAATTTTATTGACTGAAATCGAAACGCTTTGAATCTACACATTTTTGCCAACAAGGAACAAGATTGCTTATTCAAGTTGCACAAAATTCCGGAGTTCTGGAGGCGATAAATTTTTTGAAGGCATTTTTTGCGTCATCGTGGTTGGTGAAGCATTTCTCTTGCAGAAAGTTGTCAAGGTGTTTGGATAGGTAATAGCCGGTAGTCGAGAAGTCTGGTGAATGTGGGGGATGAGGCAAAGTTTTCGTAGCCTAACTTGCCCAACTTCTGCACCGTTAGTTCCGCAACATGAGGCTGGGCGATTTCGTGGAAAAGCATTGGTCCTTTTCTGTCGACTAATGCCGGTCATTGTTGTTAGACTTTACGGGGCATTTCGTTGATTTGTTGGTAATACTGCTTCGCCGTAATCGCTTCGCCCGAATTCAAGCTGTGATGAATCATCCCAGCTGCAGACCACCAAACAGTAGCCGTAACCTTTTTTGGTGCAATTTCGGCTTTGGGAAGTGCTGTGGAGCCTGATCGCAATAGAACCGTTGAGCTGACGTCGTCGTTGTCGTACATAGTCCACTTCTCGTCGCACTTCACAATTCGATCAAGAAAAGGTTCGCTTCTATTGCGTAGAATAAGAGCAAACAACACTTCAAAATAGCAATTTTTTATTATCGTTTAACTGGTGGAGAACGTCGAGTTTTTTTTGTCCTTCCTATGCGATTCAAGTGAATGGAAATTATTGTCCCTCTCCTTAGGCCAAGCTGTTCTGAAAGCTCTCAAACAGTAGTTGCTCGCGTGTTTGCTTCCACTAGTGCCCCAATTCGTCATCGTCAAGTTCATTGGGTCTTCTTCATCTTCAAGGTCCAAATCCAAATCACCAGATGGGAACGTCATGAACCGTGTTCGCACTGCTGATTCATTAACACCATTTTCACCCCAAACTTCAGTAATGTTTCGACCCGTCTCTGCTGCACTACGACCGGTTTTGAATTCATTAATGAGAATTTGACGAAAATTCGTTTGCGGTAGTAGTTCTCTGAAGTATCTAAAGGATGTCGAAGCCAAGTTTACCTTCAATCCCGTTGAATTACGGCGATATACAGATAGAAACGGTTCACTTGCATCGATCTTCAAGCAAACTCAGCCTTTCATTTTTCCGGAGCTGGAGAATTAATAGCAAGCTTGCGTGGATCCATAAAAGCGCTGGCGTGATAGATCGGTGAGTCTCTGGAAGTCATAGGTATAGACCACTCCAAAAGGCTTCACCTCCTTTACACTGAATTAATAAAGGAGTGACACACTAAGCTGTCATCTAATAATGATCCGGCTGCCTGTTGTCACAAATCTCTCATCGACTGTCGAACTCTATGTTTGTTTCAGTTGTGATCATTGGAGGAACAACGGCTTTTGCAATAACACCTTCTACTCGACTGCTCAGAGGAGGTTTTATTGTGGTAAAGTGTGTGGATTGTGCTGAGAAATAACAAGCGATATAGAGAGCACTATGTCCGTTGCTTCGAATTCTACTGTTTGATTTAATAAGAATCATATTTTCTATATGAGTGGTAAAGTATTTACTGACATTTTAACAATCGGATGTCCAATCCGTTGAATAAAAGTTCTTTCGTTTAGTTTTCTTGCAAGAAAAAAGGACGAGAGGGATATCTTGGGAGTTTTCCATGATTTTTCATCACAAATTTATTCTTCAAATCCCAGAGTCGCAGACATTCCTGCATACATCGGCGCATCACACACAGAGTAAACAAAGTTCTCAGTCAAGATAAATCATCAAACTTTATTAATGTAACACAAGAAAAAAAATCACAATGCTGAAGTTATTCTATGAAAAACTCTGGACGAACCGGTACGTAATTGTTAATGCTAACTCTGCAACACTTGATCGGTGGTCCATACGCGATGAGCGTATTGTCGCTACACTACTACTTCAATGCATTACCAGCTTTTCATGATTCGGCAGCCTGCTGATCACAAAACGACAAGGGCAACTGGATTGAATAAAAAAACGCGAAAAATTTCATGTAAAACATCGTCGTTAGAGATAACCTAGTCTTGTAACAGTCCTCATCATCGACTTTCTACTGTGTAGTCTTCAAGGCTCTGAAGAAGGCGATGCTGCCGAGGCGTCGACTAGCTCTGTGTTGCAGGTGTTTTTTGTACGAAAGTAAACGTGTGCTGTATAACAACCTCGCGATTGATGAAAAAGAAAGCAACACATTTAGAATCTAGTCTATGGAACACAGATGCAAACACGAAAGAGGAGAAAAAGTGAGATGGTCCCGAGAGGAAAAATATTAGGTTGCAACACATGGAATGTCCGCTTTTAAATGTAAATTTTAGATAACCAAACCTTTTTTCACATTAAATCTTATTGATCGAAGCACACACCTTTTGCAATAAAAAACAATTTAATTTGTTCCAGTTGCACAAAATTCCGGAGTTCTGGAGGCGATAAATTTTTCGAAGGCATTTTTTGCGTCATCGTGGTTGGTGAAGCATTTCTCTTGCAGAAAGTTGTCAAGGTGTTTGGATAGGTAATAGCCGGTAGTCGAGAAGTCTGGTGAATGTGGCGGATGAGGCAAAGTTTTCGTAGCCTAACTTGCCCAACTTCTGCAGCGCTAGTTCCGCAACATGAGGTTGGGCGTTTTCGCGGAAAAGCATTGGTCCTTTTCTGCTGACTAATGCCGGTCGTTGTTGTTAGACTTCAAGGGCATTTCGTCGATTTGTTGGCAATACTTCTGGGCTGTAATGGTTTCGGCGAGATTCAAAAAGCTGTGATCAGTTCAATGAGCTTAGCTGCAGACCACCAAACAACCACCACAACCTGTTGTTTGGTGCAATCTCGGCTTTCGGAACTGCTATAAAACCTGATCGCAATCCAACCACTGAGCGAACGTCGCCAGTTGTTGTACAGAATCCACTTCTCGTCGCACGTCACAATTCGATCAAGAAAAGGGTCGTTTTCTGTTGCGCAGAATAAGAGCGGACGACACTTCAAGAGGTGATTTTTTTGATTATCGTTTAAATCGTGTGGCACCCACTTGTCGAGTTTTTTTGTCCTTCCTATGTGGTTCAGATGAGTGGAAATTGTTCCTTGCGAAGGCCAAGCTGTTCTGCAAGCCCTCGAACAGTAGTTGCTCGCGTGTTTGCTTCCACTAGTCCCTTCAATTCATCGTCGTCATTGGTTCATTGAGACATCCGCGGCCTTCCCTAACTTCGAGATCGAAATCACCACATCGAAAAAACCTAAACCATTTTTGCATTGATGCTTTACCAACACTACGTTCAGCCTAAACTTGATGATATTTCGAGCTCCTGCGGCGACATTATGTTCACTTTCCCACTCGTACAAAAAAGAACGCGTATATCACGATGATTCAGAAAGAGAAAACTTCATGCTTTGAAAACACATTTTAAATATACGTAAGGAACAAAATTTTCATCAAAAAACTATACGAAGTTCGAAGCAATAAAATAGGACGCTTCATATGTTACAACTAATAAACTAATACAGTACCGTCTGGGTTTGACGGCGACGTTCTCGGTTCTGGTTTTCTTATGGTATTGGTTTTTGCATTTTTAGTCTTCTACTATTCGCTTAGATGTTGAAATTGCATTGATTTGTTGTTGTTCTTTGATTTAATTCAGTCAAAGGATGCCTGTTCCCTTAATACTAGTGAGACTCGGAGGTGATTCCAGGACGAAACTAATGTGTTCCCTATCATGTTCCGAGATTGCCGAAACGTCATTTCCACTGTCACGCTCTTCATCACCTGAAATAAGCCACTGGAAAAGAAAAAATCTGCTCAGGTATTTAACGCATAACGGACGCACTGCATTTTGCGATCTCTTCGTTTTCGGCCTTATTAGACTTGTTGGTTTTTGCTAATAAAAAGTAATTTTCGGAACGCAACAGGAATTAAATGGTTGTTAACATGACAAGATTGTAGAAGAGACCTTGCTCTAGCGTTCTAGGGGCATGAATGATATGCATGATACTACTTGCTATATGTTATATAGTCTATGCTAAGGCACTGCTGGTCCACTATACGAACATTGTACTGTCAGCACGTAGAATTAGAGATGCTAGAGCTGATTCATTTATGTTTGCAGACATATTTCTATCTTCACATTTGTGCGGCTTCATTTGGCGAGGACTCACGTTGTTCCGTGGATTTGAGCATAAGCGATCGAAGATTGTGATTTTTCTCAGGAGACGGGCTTCCTCTGCTGGAAACACAAATGTGAATAAATATAAATGGGAAACAAATCAATGTAGATACTCTTTAAAAATTACGCTTTGTACGCAAAAATCACTTCGCTGGTAGAAATGAAACCAAAATTCTGTTCGTGTAAAATTTCTTCGGAATCGTTTTCAGGAAGGAATGGTCTAGCACACTTCAACAAGGTCCTTAAAGAACCAGAAATTCTAACACATTGAAATATTTACCGTAACTCACCTAAGCAAGTTCCAGAGGTAGTATGGCAGGAAAGTTATTGTGAAAACTATTAAAAAATAGAATACTTTCATTTTCCTTGTAGTTAGATGTCCATCCAGGCAGTACCGCATTCATACTATCCACGCACTTCACATAGTTCAGTTGAAATTTTAGTTCTAAAAAATTCTTTAACAAAATGTTAACATCTACTGTATGTCGATAAAAAGGCAAGAAAAGTTATTGAGATGACAACAATTTATAAATAGGCGAAATATCACCTGTCCTTCGCAAAAAGTTATAATCCTTTTAATTATCTAGTGACTCGAACTAGCACGAGTAGAGACTGCGAGCCGCCCCAGTGTGCTTGTTCGAGAAACATGAAGAGCATTGCACTTTCTGCACGAAACTCTTTATTTCTTAACACTTTTCAGAACTGTCTCGCAACACTCAGCCCTTGTGAACTATGTATACACACTAGCCTTCTTTTTGAGCTCTTCGTCGATATGCGGGAAGCGGTTTGGATACGAAGACTATGCAGTTGTAGGAGCCAACGAACATAAGCACAAGTGAATTTCCGTACATACAGAAAGTCAGTTAGGTGCAGCGGAGATAGGGAAACAATGTGCTTAACTCATCTCCATCTGATTTAATGTTCATCGCCTTTGGCCAGTGTTTAATCCCATCCCTATATCGATCGCCTTCAGATGCTCCACGTAACCTCGCCACTAAGAGGATAGTAATTTCCCACTTTAGAGATTAGTGGGTCACATGATTATGGGCGATTATGGACTGCAGCAAGAGACATCGTAACTGGCCATGTAGTAAGTATATATTTATGGTCTATCTAGCAAATAGTTGTCTACTGTATTGTTGCCATTGCTTATAGCGATAGGGTTCTGTGAAAAACACGAAACAGTGCAATAAGATTAGATTCGACAGAACTGTGGGTTATGAAGAGCTGAAAAACTTAATTTTTGAAGAATGCAGCCAGAAAATCTTTGTAGCGCGAGAAACTCACCAACCTTTATGACTCTTATCATATTTTTATCGACTTGGGATTTTTGAAGTCCATTTTTACGTATTTGCATTACTCGACTGTGGCGACCACACTCATCTGGAGGTGGAAAGAAGGCGAAGAGGTTTTGGTGTCAGTGCTCAAGCGATCCATCAAGCAAATGTTCAACATTCATCGAAATAAGCATCAGGGGTAGAAAAGAGTACTGAATTCCTCTACTACTCTTTTTCACACATACATGCCCTAGAAAATCCAGTATTCTTTTATACAATCAATTGATTTATTTTCAAAATCAAAGCCCTAGAATAAACGCGGCCGAAGGTGCTTCATCCTGGATAAAGAATCGCGGATGTCCTACTGAGTATTTTCCGCAGCAGAAACTCCCATACTTAGAAGGATTTCAACATTTCCATCCAGAAGCTGATCCAAGAATATACGAATGACATAGACCGAGCAAATACAAGCTGATATTTTGAGTATTAATGCCAAAAATTGCCTACATACAAATGTGGAACTGTTTTTGACTACCTAGCTACATACGTTTTGTCTTCCCCTTTCTTTGTCTGGATATTTTCAGAAGGCTACGTCACAATATTAGCAGTAGTCAAGTACATATATAGCACAAATACGGCCGAACGCATACGTTGCTTTCAATACACATGTCGGTGAAAACGACGTAATTTAAACAATAGGAATTTTAAATCGCACTGTGAAGTTTCTTCGGCGCGTATGGCGCAGTGGTTATTAGAGGAGTCCTTCACTACACATGGGTTCGATACCGCAGCCAAGGCACTGCACGCCTTTTATCCTTCCGGGTTCGGCAGAATGGTACCAAACTTGTCCGGGAGGATAGCAGCACTGGCTCGATACATCGGTAGCCTATCCCGAGTTATAGTATAGGTAAAATGTGAATTCAATCATCTCTAACGGTGCTAAATGGAGACGAACGCTTGGTGCATGCCTCACGGATTGAACGCCAAGAGCTCTATCCTTTTTAATTGAATATTTTCTTAAACGAGATAAAAATCGTTAAATGTCCAGATATGTTGCTCTATTTTGATTCCTTTTATTTCTATTCACATGGTAGGCCATGGCACATTGCACAGATCCTAGGACTTCTTTCACTCGACTGGTTTTCTCGCGTCCATCGCATGCGAAGGCTTTCGAGTTCATGGGTGGATAAAGCAACCCCTGCTTGAATATTTTGATCT